TAACACAGCAAAGGCTCACAATATATGGCTGGTTAAGCAAGTAAGAAAACTCCGGATTATCCAAATAAGTATATACATATATTAACTAAGTATAATCCGGAGTTTTCTTACCTGCTTAACCAGCCATATATTGTTGGTCTCTTTGCTTGTTATTATTGAGCCTTTTTGCTGTTGGTTTTGACATTCATCATCATCGCCTGTCTCTTTGTTGTTGTACACAACAATCCATGGTCCTATCCATGGCACAATGTATTCCAATCAAATATTAAAAAAGACGTCTTGGTTTAATTTTCCTATTTGATCGTGGTTGTTGCTGTGTTTGTATGGACAAAGAGCAACCAAAACAGCGAAACCAAATTTAATCCTCTTAAGCCGGCCTGGAGAAAATGGCATAAAGAGTAAGTTATATTAAATGATGAAAAGACGGTAAAAGACCACAAAGGTTCGATTTACTTGTGATTACCGAAACCCACAATAACTTTTAGTAATACTAATAATCATAATATAAATGAATTTTCCTGGTGATTGTACTATTCCTATTATGATTAATACTAATGATAATCGAAAAGGTTTCCTTTGACCATTCTTGTTTCAATCGGAGGAAGAAATTCTGACCGTTTTTGTAGCAAATGTTTTGATTCCAAAGATCACTTCCCATGAATATGTATGCACCTAGAATTAGAAAATTTTAAAAAATTCTATTAATAGTTTTATAATTTGTTTAGATTTTTGGCGAAAGCTTGATTAATTTCCGCGACCATTTATGAAAACTCTAACTGGCATGTTTCAGGAATGTTATGCACAAACGCATCCACGGAAAAGCAAAATTAGCAAGTTAAGCTTGGCAAGAATGTAAATTATTAGCTACAAAAAGACGTGAATGGAGGTTCAGAAAGTAAAGAGTTCGATTGAAAATCAGAAAAAGGAAAATCAAACTCAGAATGTTTACCCAGAAACGCATTTCGTGTCGCATTCTGCCAGTTCACACGTAATAACCATTTTTCCAGAGTCGGAAGATAACAAACATGAGGTTAACTGTCAAGATGACCCTTACAAACTTCAATCCATGACTGCTGATGCTTCCTGTGATTCTCTCGCCGATGTTTCAGAATCTTAGTTGTTGACTACTTATACACACCATTGGACAGTCGAAGTGGAAGTTACTTGAAACCCAAATTTTCACATAATATTCTGTGTGCTTTTGCCATTTTGTGTGGATCCGATGAAGAAATGATGATTGAGGTTTCAGGCATATACAGTTTCCTATGGTAAGTAAATAAAATATGATTATATCAAAGCTTGAACAACTATTAATCTCACCTTTTTCACCGAACAGCAAGTGTTTTCCTTACTTTGAGACAGCAGAGTTACATTGGAAAAACTCATTGAGGCACAGTTTAACAACCTGTAACTGGTTCCATAAGACAGAATTACATCGAACAGCAATGAAGGGATACAAATGGACAATCAATTGGAACCATAAAACATGTTTAGCCTGGGAAATCAGCAAACAATGTATTAAAGATGTAACAAGCTTAAATCTGTGTCTCTCTGATCCAGGTAAGATTGAGAAAACATTTAGATTGTTGAAGGTTGAAACAACGATTTAAGGTAATATAAACGTGTCTGTTTTACTATTAATCTGTATTTAACTGTAAAGATTTGGGTCACATTTTATCATCCTTTATTTTTTCTTAATCATTAACAATAATAACATTATTATCAACTTGTCTGTACATTTTGTTTGGTCTGTTTGTTTACTTTAATTATTATTATTTCTATATTTACAGTTAATACGATAAACACATGGAATGATCAAAGGAGTCAAAGCTAAAGGAATCAGTGATACAAATTAGGATTGTACAAATTAATGTGCTACAACAAACCAAGAAATCTAAGATAATCATAAGATTGAATCTATTTTTTGGACAACAGATTAATACCAGGCTAATTCCAATTCTGTGGAACATGTTCACCAAGTCCACATGATTTCATCCTTATTTACACTTTCAACTGATTAATCATAACAAGTCAACACTCATCACATTAAATCGCCATCATTCAATCAAAACTGAAAATCAACCGGCAATTCATTTCCTAGTGTAAATGAGATTACGCATTTTTTGCATTCATCTCAATTTTTTGTAACTCTAATTCAAATTGTTTTATTTATTGGATTAAGAGTGATGCCAATTGTCATACTAAAGAGGATTTCTGTGTGACAATCAAAAAAAGCGATTTCACTTTTAATATTTTACCAACCAGAACATATTGTATGGATAAAAACCTTGATTACATAAATCATCTCAATTTAAATTGATCAACTGTAACTAGACAACCATTAATAGATCAGGCTTCTTTAACCAGTTAATGTTACATTGGTACAGTTAATATGTAAACCTGTGTTACACTCGGATAAGTTGTTGAGTTATTAATATCACTATTTTATCAATTTAACATTTAATTAGTTTATTATTTATCACTTGTTAACCTCAATTATACAGTTTTATTAATTTGTTAGCTTCTTTGAAAAGCTTCTTACAAAAAACTGTAATTCTTGATGCTAACAAATCAGCAATCTTGCTAATATATCTTACAATTAGTGTACCTGGTTAAGTAATAATTATCAGTGAAATATGCTTTTTGATGATTAAGCTGAGTCTGATCATGAAATTGGTCATCACACACACACACAGAGCAACAATAACATTAAAGTAATAATAAAGCTGTTCAGTATTTAATCAGGTGAAAGAAAGTTTGTATTGTTAAGGTTTCACATCGATTACCGAATTAGTTGAATGAATCCTTATCAATAATAACAAATGAACACAAAAATAAAAAGGTTGTTATGAGCCTAAAGGCAACCAAGAGTAGTTGGCAATAGGCATAAGACTTGTAAGTTATCAGTGTAACCTGAAATACATTATAATATTGAAAATATCAAATCAGTCAATGTTTTCCCTTTATTATTATCATCCTCTTTACATTTAAATACATCATCTTCATCATCATCATCCTCCTCAGCTTCATTTTCAATACACTTTTTTTATTTCATGTCTACTTTTTTTCCATGCTTAACTCTAAATGCGCTTAACAGTGAATACAAGATGAAACAGTTACCTAAATCAGATTATTTCCTATCCCAAACTATTAATCGTTCTCACTCATAATTTTCTCTATCAGTTAATTCATTTTATATTATTTTCCCTTCCTAATAGCTTCATCAACTTGATATAAATCTCACTTAAATTGTTAACCTTACATAAACTGCGTACACTTGATATGTTGATATGTTTCTTGTCTCCAATACATGGACATGTAAATGTGTAAATGGTATCAGTATTTGGGAAACAATTCAATAATCTTTTAGGCCTTCGTCCTTTTTTTAACTGGAACACTTTTATTTAACAGGATTAACCAGTTGATGAGCAATTTGTCAACAGCAATCGCACCATTATTGATTTAGTGTATAGGTATAGGTACTTTGCCTAGGTAAAGATGTATTTCCGATTGGATTTACCAAGACTTCAAGACTATTATTGATAACAATGGTTAGCTTGTTCAAAGCAAACTGTATTTCTGATTGTATTACAAATTGTCTGGTTTATCAGTTGAAGTGATTGACTATTATATTTTTGGTTTGACTAGTTTGTAAAGGTAATACATTAAAAATTCAATTGATGTACAAGTACAAGTGAACAACAGTTGGTATTATAATAAAAAGCATTGATTTCATGATTGCTAACTGTCACTTGGCCAAGTCTTTAATCATTGAAATATCTTGATTCACTTTTGTTGATAATAGCCATACACAGACACATACACGAATTAATTGTTGTCAACAGTCGTTAAAGTCAACTGCCATTGACAACTTTACAGCATAGTCTAAAAGGATAAAATGTTCAAGATGAACTTCAAGCTGAAGGTGTTTTTGTTGTCGATCATCTTGACTTTGATGATGTATTTTGTTGTTGCTGGGGTTGTTGATTTGATTTGAGGTAAAAAAACACGTCTATTATTATATTAAAAAGAACAATTTACATTACAATCTTCTCTTTCAATTAGACCACTTGAAGTAATGAGATTTTCAAGTGGAGTAATGCTGCATCCGAACAATGTTTAAGCCTAACCGGTAAAAAATTGAGAAGCGGCAGATTCAATTGTTGAATCTTGTCTTTTTGAAGATTGATAAAAATGACTTGAATTATGATTAAGTTTACAACCTTCAGGTTAATATGTTTTAAGTTTTAATTAAAAAGAGATGAAAGTGACGAAACGTGACTTGTAATTGTTAAATAGTGATTGAATTCATCAAAATACATACAAGTTAATACATTTCCATTTTTTTTCTATTAAATATTATGTTCATCTTTATATGAATTATTGAGTCAACAATCTTGAAATTTTATATTATATATTTTATATCAATCATTTGGTTGATCATTTATATTGATTCGTAATTTGGAGATGAGTTTATTTTACAACAGATTTTTGTTTCAAATTCATCAACGACAAAGAATAAGATACAGACGATAAAATAAAAAGATCAACTCAATCCAAAAACATTTAGAGCCACTCACATTGCTGATAAATAATCCAATTTGTGGTACCACAATTAACTCTGTAATTAAATCCTTAAATGTTTCACATTTTTGAGATTATTGCTAATTATCAGCATCCAAATTTCAGTTGAAAATTGGCTCCAATTACAGGGTGTTAAGAAAGTTCGTGTGAGGGGCGAAATAGCAGCTTCCTAATCATAACATCAAAAAATGTATAATGCGCAGGGAAATTATTTTTTCCCCTCACACGAACTTTCTTAACACCCCGTACTCTCCATTCAATCTAATTGATTAGTGTGACATTTAGCATGTGTATGATTATTGGTAAGATGATAATTAATAGTTGAAACACAAATTTTGATTGGCTGAGAAATTAAGATACAGTTCGCGTTTTAGCCATCTTTTGTTCAGCTCTTTGTAGTACTGTTTTAAAGTCTTAGAGTTTGTCCAAAATGCGCTTTTGCCAGTTTTGTTGTTTAAATTTGGCCTCAAAACAAATTCTGCTTCAACATTCGACGTTTATCTTGTTCCTCTTTTTGTTGTTTACGCCACTTTGCTCTCCTGTTTTTAAACCAAACCTGGATATGATACAAGTAATTAAACAGTAATCAATAATGAGCTTTTGTTGCCATTCAAATTTTACTTTTGTTTCATCAGTTTCAATTCGCTTTTCATTCTGTGTTTTCTTTCGTCTGACATTGCGAATGTAACTCTTCTTCTTTATCCTAAAGACACCTTTCATACGTGTCAACTAATGTAAGTAAAAGCCTTAAAAGCTTTTAGATCTAATTTGATATCTTTTCGGACATTCTATCAAAATATGAAACACTTCAACCTTCAAGGCTGCTGAATTTCTGTCATGTTTTTATAATTTGTCAATTATGCTAATGCTTACCTCAACTCTTTCTTCTTTCAGGTCAACCTGGGTTGCCAACTCTTCTCGCAGGATTACATCAGGATAGTGAGTTCGTTCAAATGCATGTTCCAATTGCTCTAGCTGTTCTTCCGTGAATATTGTCCGATGTCGCCGTTTCCTTTTCTGTCCATTTGTTAAAGTCATTGAGCTGAAAAAGCTCGGGGATCTTGCACTTAGCCTTACAGATGATGGTGTTGCTGTTGAATAAGACCTCTGATGATTTGTAATTTGTTTTGAAGTATTTACATTTGTCAATGGATGAATATGAGGATGGAAAAGACTTGGATGATGGTGATGGGAATGATGAGGATGAGCATCACAAAATCTCAACATTGAATCGTTTAAAGCATAGGTGATGTAATTGTGGTAAAAATTGGTTGCCATTAGATTATCTTTGTTATCATGATTATTAACAGTATTATTAATTGATTTGTCAAAACCTTTACCAAAGGTTTCACCACAATGAGAAGATGATGTTGATGATGATTTAGATAGGAGACGACTTATACTAAATGATAATCGTAATGATTTCTTGTTATCATTATCAGTATTAGTATTATCATCATTAGAGTTAGAGTTAGGATTTACATTGTTGTTAACAGTATTATTATTGTTTAATTCACTTTGATCAATAGATGAAGGACTACTTCCATTGGAACACAAACTATCACCAAGTTGACCCTCCATGTTGAATAATATTGGTAAACCTGTTTCTGGACTTGTAGAGATGTTCAACTGAAAAAAACTGTCACCAAAAACTGGTACCTTTCGTGATGGAAAGCTCAGTTAACTATCGAGATTTGTGATAATTCTTCTAGCAACATTTACATCTACATTTTTGTCAAAACTATTGGTTCATTTTTCATCTCTCCTAACTCCTCCCTATTATTATTAACATCTAGGGATGTCTAAATGCTGGATGATTATCTGTAGATGCTTTTCATCCCTGTTAATAATAATAAGGAGGAGTTAAACAGATGAAAGGTAAACCAATGGTATTGTGAAAAAAGCTGCTCCAAATAATATGATTGGGGATTCTCTGTTTATCCCTGAGTTTTTTCATCACAAAAGGTATCAATTTTTTGTAGTCGATATTAGCTTAAGCTGATAAATATGGCTTTAAACTCAATTAAGCGTCAAACAAAGTGAATTTACCAAAACTCATTCATTTTTGTTAGGTTAAGTCAAAGAGTAAAGAAAAGCTCCTCTACTCTTTGGGTCAAGTATTGTTCGGTTAAGGTATTGAGTGATTATAATGACAATTTAGCATAACAATTATCTGTCTTTTGAAAAAAAGCACCCAGTAATTTTAGGTGGCTGTTAAGACTGATTGTCAAATAATCATATTAATAGAAATGTCAGTCAAATGGCTACAAATTTAAATTACCTTTTAATCAGCCCAATATTCAAATTTTCAGATTTTTGTCTTCATCACCATCTCAATCACTCTATAGCTCAATCTTGTTCGCTTGCAAATGTGAATAGTCCACATGATTAATGGTTATAAAATTAACCAAATATTGTAATAAAATAGCAATCTAAGAATACAAGTCTCATTTATCTATATCAAATCCACCTTGATCAGTTTTAATAATTTATCTTTATAAGACTTCTGATGATTGAAAGTCAAGTTTACATTCAATTTTATCAAATATCACCAATCCTTACTAATTTGTGTTCAGTTGAGCAATATTATTTAATTCTGTATCTCTAATTATTTGGTAATTTTGAATTCCCAATCAAGTTTATTTAACACTCAAAATCAATAATCTTACTTTTTTAGTTGAAAACTGTTATCTAATAAAGATGATCATGATTCTAATACTCAAATTACTGTGATATGAGCCAGTGTTGGTTACGTGGACGCTCAACCATACAGATTTTTAAAGTGAAGTTTTGATATTTGAGGAAGATCAAAATTGAGATCTTTAATAAAGATTTGGTTTGCTTTGCTTATAGACTGGATTCTGAGCCAAAAAATGAAAAGAGGAGGACAACAGTTTAGTTGATAATCCAATATGAAAAAGATCTGAATATAATTCTTTAAGTAAAGTTCGATTAAAAAGGGTTTATCTCCAAATAGAGCTCATCAGAAATAAGCCATAAATATGACAGATTGACTTGGTTATGGACCCTCTAGTAACTAGAGTCTAGTTGCCATACAAAGCTTGACTAACACTCAAAGTAGTAAAAATAAAACATAAAAATTAAACACAGTATTTAAATGTTAGTAAAGCAATATATAAAATAGTTGATTATAATCCAATTGTAGTTGAATTCAATTTTCATTGAGTTTTATGTAGACCCTCGACTTGCAGAAAGAGTTACCATACCTGATTATTTCAACATAACCAGTCAAAATTTACTCGTCATACAATCGCTAATCGATGCAAAAGTGGTGCTTAGTGATCAATTAATGATGAAAAATTAAAAATCCTCAATTTTAAAAGCTGTTTGCAAGTTTTTACAAAAAATCGAGGGATTAAGGTAACACTAAATTTGAGAATGAACTGCGTCAGTTCAACTGCCTTTTAGCGGCTGTCTTGGTAACTAGAATAAACAAATTGCCAGGTGATGGCAGACATGAGTTTTGTTTTATAACTTGGTAAAGTTTTTCTGTTTTGTTAATAAATTTAAATAAAGTTTTATTCTATTATTTATTATTAATTATGTTTTCTAATGAAATTACTTGTATATTTAAAGTCCTTGAGAAGCAAATTGTTTACTCCGGTGATTGTGACAGTGACAATGGTTGTGTCTTTTTCTCTCTTGCCAGTCTGGAAAAATTTCATCTTCACACAAATGATTGGGTTAACCTAAAACTAGTTGATAACGTTGTTCATTTAGCAACTGTTGTTTCAGTTGAAAACGATTTAGATGATGACTGTGCGTATATATCGCCAATTCTTTATTTCAACCTCATTGGACGTGATAAACATGTTGACTCTGTCTCAATGAGTGCTTCTACTCAGTTAACTGTAAGTTTTCTTAGGCGATTTTAATTCTTTCCTTTCAAAGCTAATTCTTGTGAAATTTTCATTTTACAGATTTTTCCTGTTGCGGACATAGAAGTAGCCAATGAAATTAATCTGTCGTTAGTGACCAGTCCTGATTATCCTCATTTGAGTGATCTTTTTCATTTGTATGAAAATTTAGTTCACGATTACTTCAGTAAACAACGGATACTCAAACAGAATGACATATTAGCTATTTCTAGTCTTGATAATCCTGATTTTTACCGACTCTATGATGATCCTGTTTCGATTCATTGGCCGGTCATTTATTTTTCTGTTCAAAAAATTGACGGAACCGCAAAACATTGCGTCAAAACTAGACCACAAAAAACTCAAATTTACATTTTTGGTATAGTACACTCTCCCATACCTTATGCTGCAAATTTATACTTCTCAGACAAACCTAATCTACCAATTCCGGAACGATATTGTGATAAATTAACGAAGCTTGTTCATCCCTACTTATATCAACTTAAAAGACGGATTGGAGCAATTCTCGTTTCTGGACCCACTGGTTGTGGTAAACTATTAACTACCCGCAAAGTAGCTTCACGTTTGAATCTCAATCTTTTCGTTCTTGAGTGTTATGATCTTCTTGCGGATACCTCTGTTGCTACAGCTAAAGCATTTGAAACTCAATTATCTAAAATTAAAAGCTATGCTCCTTGCATTGTCTTCCTGAGATCAATTGATCTACTTTGCCTGGACAAAGAAGACGTTCGAGTGGAAGATGTGATGAAAAATTTTCTTGTTTCATGTCAACGCGATCGACCAAATGGTGAACATGGAATAATCTTGATTGCCTCAACGTCAAAACCGGTTAATGATACTTTAAACAAATTTGGTTTCCTTTTTACTGTCAATAATCATTTATCCATTGAAACTTTAAAGGAGACTGAAAGGAGAGATATTATTCAGATTTTTCTTAAAGACAATGATCGTTTAGATGATGTAACAAGGCGAGAGATAATTGATACAATGGCTGCTCAAACAAATGGCTTCTTGTATGGTGATCTTATGACTGTTTGCATCAAGCTAAATAATTTAGATGAAGTCAAAATGAAAGAAATTTGTCCAGCTGTGATCAAAGAGCACAGTAGGAAATATGCACGCTCTCTGGGAGCTCCAACAATTCCAAATGTATCCTGGTCTGATATCGGTGGACTTGAAGAAGCCAAAAAAGAAGTTATCGATTGCATTCAACGACCAACTGATTATCCTCAACTTCAACAAAGAGGCCTTCGACGGTGCGGTTTCCTTCTTTATGGTCCTCCAGGAACCGGTAAAACTTTGCTAGCTAAAGCAGTTGCCTCACAATTTTCATACAACTTCCTCAGTGTTAAAGGACCTGAATTAATCAGTGCTTATGTTGGGCAAAGTGAAGAAAATATAAGAAATATCTTTCAAAGAGCAATCAAGGCTCGACCGAGTATTGTATTTTTCGACGAGCTTGATTCATTAGCACCTAAAAGAGGCAAATTTGGTGATTCAGGTGGTGTTATGGATAGGATAGTATCTCAATTAGCTTGTGAAATGGATATTATTGCGAATTATCCCAATATATTTGTCTTTGGAGCTACTAATAGACCTGATCTATTGGATTCTGGATTGCTTCGTCCTGGTCGATTTGAGCGTTGGGTCTATGTTGGACCACCTTGCTCTTTAGAGGAAAGAATCAGTGTACTATCAGCTTTAACGCACAGATTCAATTTGGCTGATGGACTTGAGTTAACTACTATTGAAGAAAGATTACCACAGTATTTAACTGGAGCCGATTTTTACTCCATTTGCTCATCTGCTATGATGACTGCCCTGCAAAGAGTAGTCAAGGAGATCGAAAATGGCGAAAAAGATGAAAGAACTGCCCAAATTGATATTAATCAAGACGATTTTGATACTGCATTGAAATACTTTACCCCGTCTGTGAAGAAGGAAGAACTAGAAAACTATCAAGCAATCAGGGCAAGGATGGAAAGAGACTGATTTACACTGAATTTAAATTTATTTCAACTTTTAGTACTTAATTTTTTTATTCGTTTGCTTTTACAATCGTAAAAGTTTACATGAACAAAAATTATGTAAATTAATCACGAACAATCATGTACTACCTATGTAATAATTATTATGCAGCTAAGAAAATTTAATCTAATTTAACGGAAGCAGCCTATTACAATGGAATCACGGTGAAATTTTACGATTAGTTGATTTACCTATCAACAGATGGTATATCGGTTCCTTAGTTCGTTTACCGCTACGCCAGAAGGAGCCAAATTCCAGAAGCAAAGTTTGTTTGTTTCAAACTTTCATTTTCAAGAAAATCTTACTTTTGTAATAAAATTGAATTGATAATTGTTTTGATTGTCTGCATTATATTTATTCGCCATTTAACTTTTCTGTAGTCTGTTATTCGTGTGTTTACGTTTGGAATTTCAATCATCTATTGGATATTATAAATATTTCACGCCACCATCTTCACCATCATCTATTTTTGCAGGCAAGTGTTTCCTTTATTATTATTTTTTTAGCGGATTCGCGTAAATTATTTTGCAAATCTCGTACAATATTTAAAAGCTATTTCTTTAACATGTAAGTTATCCGTTCCACATTAGATTATCAAATTAACTCAAGTCATCTCATATCTCTTAACCCACTCATATTTCGCTCCGTTTATAAAACAAAGTTACCTCTTGTGAAGCTTAAATTCCAGTTGCTGCCTTGAAATACTTGGACACAAAGAGATCTTCCAAAATGCTTGTAATAACCTTGCTTCATTCAGGTGACAGTTTCTTGATACCATGTTTCAGACCATTATTTATTGCTAAAACAAAATCAACTAATCGAAATATCTCAAGTCAATTTACTGATTAGAAAAAGCTTGTTATATTTCCTTTTTAGTTTGGTTTTACAAGTTTTGTATCAAGAAAAGTTGCAACCTCTGTCACTCATACTGACAATTTTTCTCATTTGTGCAATGCATTAGAGCAATATGATTTGTTAAACTGAAATCCGTTTTTCTTTTCCGGTCAAGAGTTAATCAATTCAAATTATTGCTACTCAAATCGAAAGAAAGACATATACATGGAAGTCTGTTTGATCTTCATCTCAACAACGTTACTAAAAATGATTGATTAACCATTCACCTTAAAAGGATTGAAAACTCAACCCAGTCTCTGAGCAAACAAAAAACTCCTTCAATTATTTAAAACTAGAAACATAATTTCATGTCTTGCAGTTAAGGGCATGATTTTATCTTCAGGCATTCAAATCTTTGGGTGCAAAAAGAAAGTGAATTCAGGTCAGAAAGTAAACTTCTTAATGGTCTGTCATCAGTAAATAGCCATGGAAATGCAGGAGATTTCAGGGAGTTAGATCACTCAGGGTGTTGAAGTAGTTTGTCAAGAATTTTCAAAAAGCAGATGAAATAAAGAAGAAGAATAATAGATGGAAAATAAATAATGATGAAACGATCACCACGGAATTTTGTAAAAATAAATTCTTGTGAACACACAATTCTTCTCCTGAAAACCACTTCTATTTTGTATTCTTATTCTTACTCTTATTTCATTTTCTTTTTCTGGAAATCCCTAAAAACCTGTTCTTACCTAACTCCTTATCCACCCCTTGTCCCTCCTCCTGAATTTTTTGCTACTCTCGATACTTAAATGTCTGTAAATTGTGTATGGCCGACAAGTTTATTTAAAACAGCCTTAGGCTTAACTTCGCTTTCTGACCTCAATTTACTTTCTTCAAGAAGACGATGCTGGTAAAGGTATATATTTAGGTCACATTTACCGTATAATAGACGTAAAGGGGGAGTTGAAAGATGAAGATGATTTCAATGATGTATGAGATGTAAAGATGAAAAAGAGAGTTCCACTCTGATTGGGAAAATAGTGACAACTAATGCTGTTGTGAATCCACCAAAATCACAAACACTTATCGATACAATAGCAAAATATCTATCAGCATCATTGACATCAACAATTTGAGTTAAATTGAAAAATGAGTTAACTAAATGTTCAACTTTCTCATTTGAAAAGCCTTTTTTTCATTAACTTTTCAAATGATTATCTGATGAAATTTTTTATCAACTAAAACGAGTGTCATGGGCTTTTGAATTTTATCCCAACATTACTAATAATACCGATAGTGTTGATTGAATTGATTTTTCATTGCTAATTGGTTGATTAGTTGATTTAGCTTCGGTTTTAACGTTTACCGCTCTAATTGTTTCTGTTTCTATTTCAATTCGACTATTGACCAAAAGACAATTTGCTGTTGGGAAACAAATTAATTAATGAAAATTTAAATCTAAATTTTGGTAAAACCCAATTTTTTATCTTTTACTTTGGTTGACAAAAAAAGGTTTACACTTTTTTCTTGATCTCTCAAACTGAACAATTGTATAACTTGTAAAGCAAAAGCGAGTATAATTGTAAAGTAATTGAAATTTTAGTATTTTCATCTTTCCCTATTTGACCTTTAACTTTCCATTTGCTCTCACCATTGACCTCATACATTACCATCGATCAAGCCCCAAAAATTCCCATCTTAATCGCCATTTACTTCTATACGACTAAACATTGAACAACATTTTCATCTTAAATTGCTAATTGTTACTTGTAACTTCATTTGATTTGGCCTATTTGATAAGAGATGTTTTTTGCTTTCAAATTTCCCATTTTAAGTAAATCAAAGTTTAATTTTACATAATTAGAGTTACATTGATGTGTAACAAAATGCTTACCGGTTAATGATCATGATCACTCCAAAAGGTGAATAATTGAATTTAATGGTCCTTGACAATTTAGTGAATTGTCAATCCGGTTTGTTTTAACCATTTCACCTACACATACCTCTTTAATGATGTTAACTTACTTTTTTTTCTGGTAAATATGTGCGCTCTTATTGATCATCTTTTCTTTTTACCTTTTTCTCATCTTCAACAGGTTATTCGCCCTTCAAAACGCTGATATATGGTTAACGACAAAAGCTATTAAAATAATGTGACAATAAGAAAAAAAGGAAACAAACGATAGTGCCAAAATCTAACAATAGTAATAGTCAACAATCAAGAGGAAACAATCGACAATCAATATTATCTAAAATTATCAATAACATTTTGGTTAGCAGGAGTCATGGTGGTGATCATTTTTGTGAATCAAGATGATATCAAGAATGATGATTGGTCATAAAATGATGATTGAAAGGATTTCATTTTGTTTCATCTTTTTACTATCTTTCCTTGTGACTGGCTCCACCAGCCTAGAGGACAGTGGTTCATGGGAAACGCCGATAGTTCCAACAGACTCATCGTTGAGTCCTTCGACCATTTGGAACTCATTGGAACTCACTTCACTTGATAATTTTACTCAACCATTTACTGGACCTAAGTGTTCCAATCTGGACAAATGTTTGACTGCGTTGAGAGGACGTAAAGTTGACTCTGAACGAGAACGAAACTGTGCTTGTGATCAACAATGTGCTGTTTACGGTGACTGTTGTAATGACTCTCCATGGCTTGAAGGGTCAGCTACTCCTTTTAATCGTTCGTTTACTTGTGTTGATATACCATCTCTTGGTGGATTTTACATGATTACTCAGTGTCCCGATAAACTACAAAACTCTGATTTACGAGAAAAATGTGAACGAGGCAGCCTGGAATCAGACCCAATGGCTTCTTTACCTGTTACAGATGTCAGTAAACAATTGACTTATCGCAACATTTTCTGTGCGATGTGCCATTCTGATTCGAAAAACAAAGTTTTCTGGAATGCAAACCTAGCCTGTTCCAATTTGAATAAAAATGAGCACACATTGACAGAAGATGAGATTCGGTCAAACCTTGTATTTGACTTTCAACTCAATAAATGGATAGTTAACTACACATCACCCAATGGCTCTCAAGTGATCAAGGAATGCTCTATTAGTCCTGTTTTTCCTACTTCAGCGGAATCCTCAATTCGCTCTTGTAAACCTGGTCTCATTGAATCTTGTCCAAGTTCATGGAGTGATGAAACTGTAGCAAATGAATGTGCTTCATATCAAGCGTCTCGATTCACTGACCGTGTTGGCTATCGTAATACAGCTTGTGCTCTCTGTAATGGAGTAAACGCTACATCACTCAAATGTTCACCCATTTTGACTCGAGCTCTCGATAGTGGAGCCGATGGTGTCATTGGTCGAGCCTCTCATCCACATCTAGGATCACCATTTTACAGTGGCATAATTTCATTTAGTTTACTCCTTGATATGAACGAAGGTTCCAAGGGTAACTCGACTGTTGGTAAAACCAACCCTTGTCCAGAATCTGATCAAAAATGGGATTTATTTTTTCAATCTTGCCGATCACTTGTGTGTGGATTTAAAAACTATCGGTTGATTAATGGACGATGCTTGCGTGAAAATGAACCTGAATCGAAAATTTTTGGTAACAAACCAGTTAATCAAAATTCAACTAAATCATTAAACTCTCTGGTGAGTCCAAACAAGTTGAAAATAATGAAACTCTTTGCTGAAATTTAAGTTTGAAAATGTTTCAAGAATCAATTCTCAAACAATTTGTTGCTTTCATGTTGATAATTTTTCACTATTTTGTTGTTTATTCAATCAAACAGTTGGTTAGCATATTAATTATTAAGTCACTTTTAATTTATACATGAATTTCTCGTTTTTGATTTTTAGTTTTATTTATCAATTAGTTTTTTGAAACAGCTCTTGAAACGAAAATTCAGAAATGTTTGTTCTATGAAAAGGTGGAAAACCTTGAAAGCAAGAAATATCATGCATGTGCTATTGGATAGTTTCACAGAAATCACTTCAAACCTTGAATTTTACTCTTACAAGATCATTGATTATCCTTTTTTCAGTTGTCATCGTTTATTTTAACTTTCTTTTGTGATTTTTGTTTGTTTTCGTGAATCTCTTATGGTTAATTTTTTAGGCTTTTTGATGTTTTAATATTTGGTTGCAATTCAATTGTTGAAAATGGTTGAGTAATGCATAACTATTGAACAATACTTCAAGATGAGATCAGAAAAGGACTGAAGTTTTAGACATAAATATGCTCAGGGTTTTTAAAAGTACATTTTGATGAGATAATTTGGTAGATTTTCAATAATAATTTTCTCACTCAAAACACATTCTTAAATTTATCGTACTAATACATTTTTTATTTTTGCAGTTTCCCGAAGAGTCAAAGCATAATGTAAGGTCCATAACGACACAATATTATGATTTCCAGGAATGTCCGATGATAATTTTGACTAGAAACGAGATACAATTTTTGGAGATTGAAAAACAAGAACTAAAGGCAAACTCAGAATCTTCAATAATCTACGTTCCTCGGTATAACAAAACATTCAACTCTACCAACTATCTAATGGTTAAAGATTCAATTTACATTTGCTCTGATTTTCTGGACTATGAGGTTTCACTGAATAAATTTTCTCAGCAGATGGGATTGGTAACTTTAATTGGATTAGGAATCTCTATTGGATCTTTAGTTCTTCATATCATCGCTTTTACTTTGGTTTCTGATGTTCGCAACCTTTCAGGACAAAACCTCGTCTGCCTGTCAGTCTCCCTGATCTTGGCTTATTCATCATTTATTTGTATGCAAGTATTGACTATTCGCGAATCAACACTACTTTGTCGTATAACTGGAGCAACAGTACTTTACTTTTTCCTTGCTTCAATGGCTTGGATGAATGTCATTGCATGGGATGTTTGTCGGACCCTACGATTGGCCACAGTTGAATTACGAGTAGCCAGTGGTAAACAACGAGGAAGATTTTTCCTTTATTCTTTGTATGCTTGGACAATATCAGGATTATTTACTGGTGCTGCTTTATTAGCTGACTTTCTTCCTTCCGATATAATACCAGAAACTATTAAACCCGGTTTTGGGTTATCTGGTCATTGTTGGTTTCAACGTCGTTCAGCATTGATCTTGTTTTTTGGTTCGCCTGTTGCCTTGATAATGTCTATAAACTTGATTATGTTTATATTGTCAACATTTATGATTGGCTCAACTACCCGAGGAACTGCATCTTTTACTCAAATAACTACAGCTCGAACAAATTACAAGCTTTATCTCAAACTTTGGCTTCTCATGGGGCTAACATGGTTTGTTGGTTTTCCTGCCTCTTTCTTGGAATCTCTTACTCTTTGGTATATCTTTATTATTCTCAATACTCTTCAAGGTTTATTCATCTTTATCGCTTTCTCATGTAAACGGAAAATCCTTCGAACTATCAAAAGTAAACTATCATCTCTTACATCTTCTTCGGTGGGTGGCTCATATTCGGTGGCTACTTTAAGTCAGAACAATTCTAAATTGTCTTCTGAATCTGATCTTACCATGAGAACATCTTGTCATTCATATCATCAACCAAATCATCAACAACAAAAATCTCACCATTTTTATCCTCATCACCCTCCAACTCATGCTTATCTGCAGTCCAATCATTATAATATTAATAACTATGAAAGAAAAATGTCTAACCGACATTGAAATTGTAATCGATTTTTATTTCGATATTTTTTGACGATAATTTTTTAAATATTGTAGCTTTACACAATTCTTTTGCTAATCGTATTTTAAAATATATTTGTGTTTAGGATTTCTAATGTGCCATTATGGTTTTATAGAAAATTAAAGTATTATAAAATCAATAAACCACTTTTTACGAAATAAAAAAAGCATCATTTATTTGAAAAGTAATTTTAATACATCCTCAAGTCGATGGAGGCGGAGGAGGTGGAGGTGGTGGCGGTGGCGGGGTCGTTAAATTTGTTATAGGTTGTTGTGGTTGGGCCATCGGTGGTGGTGGCGGCGGTGGCGGTGGAGGAGGTGGAGGTGGCGGCGGTGGAGGTGGAACCATTAAACCAAATGAATTCATTTGACCAGGAATTTGTGGCGGCGGTGGAGGAGGAGGTGGTGGTGGAGGTGGCACCATCAAACCGAATGGATTAAGTTGACCTGACATTGGCGGTGGAGGTGGTGCTGCATGATTCCAACCTGTTGGTGCCGGTGGTTGATTTCTATTCATCATTGTCAGTATATTTGCCATGTCCTCTTGAGGGTAAAACATAGGTGGTGGAGCAATTGGTGGAGCTGCAGTTGGTGCAACTACTACTGGAGGTGCAGCAGTTGGTGGTGCATCAGCAAACAATTGATGAGGTCTGTCAGATTGATTCAGTGGGTTTTTAGCAGCAAGCAATCTTTCAGCTGCTGACCCATGTCTTTCTCCTTTGGCATCTTTTTTGAAAGCATAACTTATAGTTATTGGCCTATTACAAAGATATTGTCCATTCATAGCTTCAATTGCTGCATCTGATGCTTCAAAACTGGCAAAATTGATGAATGCATAACCTTTAGAATTTCCAGTTTCAGGGTCTCTCATTATTTTTGGAGTTTGCAGTATAACACCAAAAGCAGAAAAAGTATCGAATAACAATTTTTCATCGACTTCTGGATCCAAATTACCAATGAATATATTGGCTCCAACATCGAGATTCTTTTGATGAGCTGATGCTTTGTTTACTCGTATAGGTTTACCATACAATTTGATCATATTTATTATTTTGATAGCGTAATCCGCATCTTCTTCTGATATAAATTCAACAAACCCATATCCTTGGTGAGAATTGGTAACACGATCTTTAGGCATATGAACATTGACAACCGGTCCAGCTTGAACAAACAATTCCCATAGAATGGCTTCAGTTATCTTTTCATCCAAACCGCCAACATAGATTGTAGCATCTTGGTTTCTCTCCGCAATCGGGGCGGACATGGTTCTCCAATACTAATTCTTATTTCAATCTAATAATTTGACAATTTACATCACAAATATTAATTAAAAAATTATCTTTAAAAAAACTACAAAAACGTGAGCGGTTTCATGATAACATTCAAATGATTGTTATTTTTTCAAGTTGATCGCCATCTATCGACTCATTCATGTTAACTTCAACGCATTTTTATCAGCTGTTATTTTTCTTCATTTAACATTTTGATGAAAACAAATAAACTTCTTTCATTCAGTTAATTTATCTTGTTGTGTTATATTATTTGTGAATAAGTTTATTAAAAGCGCTCAATATGTCTGCATTGGGTATGAAAACTGAAGACATCACTAAAGCTCTAGAAACACCAGAAGAAAAAAGGTAAGAACATAAACTCTATTTTTTTTAATTCACTGACAGCTATCATTAGCTTATACTGTCACTGTTACAGCCATTCAAATATACTAATATGTTTTTTGTCTCTATCAATTCACAGATTGAGACGATTGGCGAAAAAAGCAGCAAAAGAAACAAAGCGAAAGTTAAAATTAATTGGATATACTAATGAAGATAATCCATTTAATGATCCTGAGTTCGATAAGCCTTTTATTTGGTGGAAAAAATACGAAGCCTTAGGTATTAAAAATATTGACGAAATTCACGCAGACATTGAAAGGATACGCCAGTCAAATATCGATGAATTGGAAAAAATTAGGAAAAGAAGACAAGAACGGGAAAAAGAACGAGAAGAAAGGACTAAAGAGATGGAGGCTCGTCGACGAGATGAAGAAGCTGGTAAATTTAGGAGTTGGGTTGATGGTGAGGAACAGTTTCTTTTCAAACAAGCCAAACTTCGTTCTGAAGTTAGAATGAAAGAAGGACGAGCTAAGCCCATTGATTGGTTGGTTGCATATATCAATGCAAGTGGAAACGAATCAGAATATCAAGAACATTTGGTTGAACCATATCGTTATTTGAATGGTTTGAGACTGAGTGACATGGAAGATCTCCAGGAAGACATTAGAGTTTACAAACAGCTGGATTCTACTGATAACTTAGAATACTGGAAAGACTTAGAAATAATTGTACAGGACGAACTCTTGAAATTGAAATGTTATCAAGCTTCAAAGAATCAAAAAGACGATGGTATCAACCCATCAGTTGCTAAAGAGCAAAACAAAATACTTACTGATAAAACTCCATCTCAACTGGTGGCATTACAAGCAGCAATCGAGAAAAAGATGGCTAATCACCATGAAGTGATAGACATTAGTTACTGGGAAAATTTACTTGCTAAAGTCAAAGCACATATGGCTCGAGCTCGTCTGCGGGATAGACATAAAGAAATTTTAAGAAAGATGAGCAAACAAGAAGTACACAATCAAAGTCAACCAGAAAGTATGTCTGATGAAAACGATCAAGAAGACGACTATGTTGATCCTCTCGAAGCATGTATTGAAGAGTATCAAAGAGGAGGTTATTCACCAACTCTATTGAACAAAAAGGACGTTGATTCATCTTTAATTATCAACCCTGATGAGGACCTACGAAATCTAGATATTAAACGACAAATGGTATTATCGCAACCAAGTAAACTGGATAAAACTTCTACGGCAACTGCTGCTGAATTGCAATTCGAAAAGGAAGCTCGACGTGGTATGGGATCTGATGAAGGCATTTTAAGAATCGAAGAAAATATAGTACAAGATCCAAGTATTGCTTCATGGTCGGAAAAATATCGCCCAAGGAAACCTCGATATTTCAATCGTGTCCACACTGGATTCGAATGGAACAAATACAACCAGACACATTATGACATTGACAATCCACCTCCGAAAATTGTTCAGGGATATAAGTTTAACATATTCTATCCTGATTTAATCGATAAGAGTAAAACACCGACGTATACAGTTACTCCATGTGCTGATAATAAAGACTTTGCTATCATTAAGTTCAAGGCAGGGCCACCCTATGAGGATATTGCATTTAAAATTGTGAATAGAGAGTGGAATTATTCATATAAAAGTGGCTTTCGTCGTCAATTCAGCAACAATATTCTACAGCTTTGGTTCCACTTCAAAAGATATCGTTACCGTCGTTAATTTATCGGTGTTATCTATATTTTGTGCTATTAAATATTCAAAAAATCAACTTTTATCCACAACTTTTCTACATTGTACTTATTGAAAGATAGATTGTAAATATAATGAATTTTCGTAACTTGTAAACTTCCTAAACTTAAATAATAACAAAAAATTGACTTTCCTATTCTATGAATCAGATATTTGCTGAACACCTAAGTTCCCAATAATCAAAATGATAACCAAGTTAACATGAAAATATGCAGATGGTACATTATTGACTTTATTATTGCAGGATGTTCATTTACCACTCTATGACAAACAGAAATAATTCCGTTCCAAATAATAACGTCCTACAAGTATAACAATTTGTTTCAACAATGCTGAAAGTTATGCAATTGTTGATAATCAGGCACAATTAAAATCCAGGTTATTTATAGAGTTGTTGATTGATTTACAAGGCAGCTGATTTGTGATTATAGCGACGATTATAGATTATGATTATACAAGCGGTTAATGTATCTTTTTAGTTTCAAATTTTACAAACAAGTTTCATTTGGGTCTAAATAATGTGTTAATCATAAAAATCAATGTAATAGTTGACAATATAAAGTAATCACCGTACATAGTAAATTAATAAATTAAAACATAAAGTCAAACATAATAAAATTATTGTCAAAAAAAGAGGAAATAAGACCAAAACCAGGAAGAATAAAATCAAGCAATGATATTCACAAGTTGACTCTTAACTTTACTCTAGCCGTTTATCTGGATAACAATCAACTAAGTGATTTCAATCGAAATGAATACAGATGAAATTACATTAAACAATTAATCAATCAACATGAAGATAAACAAATAAGCAATCATTAACAATCCTCTCAAAACATTATTTTTTAGACCGCTAGATGGTATTAAAATTTGACTAAAAAGGCGGGACATGAAAGACTTAACTTCAACTGAACAACTTTTATTTTCGTTTACTTTTCTCGTCTTTCATCTTCTTCTTTCTCATCACTTCTGTCTTTCTTTTTTCACTTTGAAATTGATTTGCCCATTGATTAACCATAGTTAAAGGGTAAATTCAGTCAACAAGCAAGAATAACTCACTACTTATTGGCCAACAATCATGTCAGTCAAAGATTCACCAATCAATTGTGTCTTTTGTTGATCACTTTATATTGTCTACTTTTCAGTTTCCTCCAATTTTCACTGTTCGTCTTCATTCAAATTCGTGATTCTCTGTGTTCATCTCATCTACATCTCTCCATCATCCTTAACATCCTCATTATTCTCATCTCAATTCAATTTTCTCTCATGCTTTAAGCATTTCTGGCTCTTTTAATACATTCATTGTGATTTCACTGCCAATCATCAAGCGTATTTTGTTGCCGTTACTCCTGTTATTGCTCTTGTTTATTTATTTACCTTTTCATCACTCCATCTTGCTATCATCACCAGCCACCCTTTTTACCTACATTTTTATCAACATTTCATCTACAAACAAATAAGTTTGCCTTTTGTGTAACAGTTTATTCTGTCATCTTTTGTTAAATCAACACCAAAAATCATACAGTTCAACCTTTTCTCTCTTCCATCCAACACTTTGTTTGATTTATTATTTTACCTTAATTGGTTTCATTTTGGGATCTCACTTTTATTTACTGTGAAAACACAAATTGAAATGTTTACTTTTGTTTACCACCGTTAACATTAAAGCCTTTGAGCAGTGTTAATCTCACCATTACCTTAAAAAAGTCCACAATCAATACTTTTGTTTCATTCTTGAGATAACAAAAAAGGCTCTATCTAATTAATAGTAAATACCATCAACAACAACAACAATACTTAATGATTTCATTAAGTTTTCCGTTCAAGGATAATCGCGTAATGATAACAACAAAAATCAACTGTAATCACCACCAAAGGAACCACAGTTAACACCCAAGAGTAACACCAAAAACCTAAGCAACAATTAACAATTTTTGCCAATTGAACTCAATGAAACAAAACACGGTTCAAATCAAGTTAAATTGTTTTGTCTATTTGTTTAAATTGTACATAATATATGAACAAAAACGTGAATCTCTTGAGGTGATCTAAATATTATGAATACAACAAAATCAACAGCCGCTTTTGACCAAAAAAATAGCCAACTGGAAGCAAAGTGAAGCTCAACCTGACAACAAAAACATCTTTTCTCATCATAATTTAATGCCATTTAACCGCCATTTTATAAATGTAATTTCACTCTCAGTTTTACCTTTTCCCCATTTCACAGTTTTGATAATCATATCAATCCATCTCAATCCATCAATCCCCTGAAAACTATGAACATATCCAATTCACCGGCAATCGCAATTACATTTCGTTGTAATTGCAGTCAACCTCTCCATGCCAGGACAATTGGATTTCTTGCCGATTGGATATCTGCTTATGTCTTCATCAAAGGTGAGTTATCATTAAATATCTTCATTAACCCATCATCACCAAACAACAAAATTATCACAATCAACAATTGAAATCGTTAAAAGTAAAACCTTTTATATCAAACTTGACTTTGACAATTTTCACTTTCAAAGTCACCATCAAGTAGTTAGTTTCAATCATTTTGATTACTCTTGAAATCAATTAACAGTCTTCATTAACCAATTAATGCAACAATTGCTCCAATTTTAATTGTTGTTTATTCAGCAATTTAACAATCAAATTGAAAACCTTGCCTTCAATTGTGATAATTTAGTCTATTGCTAAACTCAATTTACTAAAGTCAATGTAAATTACAACTCAATATAATGAAACATTTCCCTTGACAAACTCATCTACAGACTATTAGAGTACCAATGAAAAAAAGAGCAACAGTAATAATAATAAACAATCAACTTGTAGCCATCATTTTTGATTGTAACAATTTATCCCATTCAAGTTGATTTGCCCATTTCAGTGAAAAAAAAACAAAATTATCATAACAGTTAACCTCACCAACCAAAATGATTCCTCCTCTAATTGAGACATCAAACAATCAATAAGAATAATATTGAATTATCATTAATCAAATTTGTACCCAAATCATAATTAACCAATTTAAACATATTATAAAATATGAAAATACAAAGTAGCAATCATGAAGCGAGAAAAAAATAGACGAAAATTGAACAGCAAAACAACTAAAAACTAATGATAATCAGTAAACACATTGAAAGTCTGTGAGGACGCAAAGGCCCTTGAGGCCAATTTTCAGGTAAAAAACATTAGGCTAGTCTCATTATTATCATCATCATCAACCTAATCATTATAATCATCGGCATCATCTTGATGACTTTTTTCAACATAACCCAAGCGAATCAATAGATTTCATCTAAAAACAATTTTTCCTTTGCTTTTCTCAGCGCACTTTTTACCCATTGTAATACGTGCATAAACGCGTGTCAAAACTTTCAAACGTGTCGATGGATTTTGTGATTGATAAATTACCTTTAAGACTGTTTAATTGTTACCTGGTGCTGTGTGAAACCTTATGCTCTTTTGTAGACTAAATTGTTAATCATTTTAATACCTTTTTCCTTGGCGAAAAAGTTGTTTGCTTTTAACGTCTAAACCAAAAAAAGGTAAACTTTACTTTGAAACATTGTTAATCGATTATGATTAACCTTTCATGTTCAGATGGTTATGATTAACATGAAACAATATATCCAATCAATCACTTTAATCGTGATTCAAGTCTTATTGTAGTTATTTTTGATTAAATATCATTATCCTAAAACTGGTTAATGCATCATTTTTAGGTTTTATATCTTTCTTTCACTACCAAAAGGTTGATCCTTTAAGATCATTGTTTAACTGCATTTTCAATGATCTTTTTTTTTCAAAACAATTTGTAAATTGTTTCACAGTCATTTTTACATTCACCTGGGAGGTTTGAATCTAAATGATCATTTAAATGGTAAAAAGCTTAACTAAGAAACCGATCAAGAAGATTATCATTTTAATAAATTAATAAACTCGGAATGCAATCTTAATTATATTCAACTCTTCAGAGTTGATTGTAAGGATAAATGTATTTGACTTGACTTTTTCTGGTGCTCATGTTGAAAGGCAATTATTTTGGGTATTAATTTGTCTTAACATTTTTATAGTTTATTCAGTTTGAATTAAATGAATTGATTTACTGATGAAACATGTGGGAAATTAATTTATCAGTCCGGAAACATGTTTAATCTGTTTACCCATTCAAATCGGGTTAACTCTTGATAACTAAAGATTGTTGATTCCCAATTGGATTTGTGATAATTTGTCCCAAATAATCTTTCACTTGATGAATGTAAGTTACACCAAATTAACCTTGTCATCACCTTGTATTTAAATTATTTGTCATTCACCTGTCTAGACTTGATTAAAGTAAAGAGATAAAATATTTCCTCATTTAACTGATTAATCAAATTGGCATCTTTAATCAGTGATTGGGTTAATAAAGGAAACGCGTGTTTCCAATCATAATTGTTAGCTTTTAACCCAAAGATTGAAAAATGCCTTTCACTAATCTAATAATTTTGATCCAAGTTGATAAGCTCAAGTTGAACCATTAATTTTGACTAATCATTATCGTGACAATCAACTTACCGTTGTAAATTATGTTTGCCTCAATTGAAGATAAGTGATGATCAAACGCCCAGCTCATTCAAGTCTAAGACCTTTCAAAAGGTCAACCATGATTGGGTTAAAATTTTTGGGTAAATCCAGAGATAAACGTTTTCAAGTATTCTTGATATTTCATTAATCAATGAGTCACCCGAAGAGCCAAAAATGTGACCCTTAAAACCTTCTCCTCAGCAAGTGAAAAGTACATTTCCTCTTCACCATTTGATTGCAAACATCAGTGAAATTGAAATAATACCAATGTCTCTCACACATTCACTGTCTGTCAATCTTGATTCAATGTTTTTTTTCTGCTTAAACTTCCGTTTTCAATTGAGCGTTCATCTTGTTAGACCTTTTGTCTAGTTGAACATTAGGACTAAATTAGGACAAAAAAAGACGTCCAAGATGATTTAAAGCAGGAAAACGCATTGGTAAGCATCATTTCCCTCAGAATTGTCTGTCAAAATGATTAAAGTTACAGAGAGTCAAAAATGATGTTTACTTGAAAATGTCTTTTCGGTAAAAGCAAAGCCATCTTTTACTCGATTAAACTAAATTAATGTTTAATCATTTTCAAGTTATTAAATTGTCACAAAGCTCAGAAATTCGTCCAACATTCAATCGAGTTAATCTTGCAAATCTAATTCGCTCACAAATCAATATTCACAAATCCATTGTGAAAATACAATGTACTTCATTTGCAATATAAAGGAAAAAATATTTAGTCTCAAAATGAGTCTTCAATTGAAGTCAGTATGATACAATCAACAATCAACTAATTTTTTCATCTCTTTGTTAGTGAATTTGAGGTAAATCATGACGCTCCTTGTTTTATGGATAAACTCAATTCTTGCTGAATTAACTTTCTTTGTTCATTGAAACATTTTTGCACCATTTTCCTGCCCTTGGGTTTGGGATATTTTGCTATATTGACCAACCTGAATTGACTTCAGCTAATCGACTTTTAATTCAGCGAGAAACTTGGTTTTGATTTGTTTCCATGTAATTAAAGTCATATGGATCAACCTTAAATGACAATTAAAAAGGATTGACCATTGAAAATGACAAGACGATTCTTCATCATTATCATCTCACAATTGAACGAGCAATTATCATTTAATTAAATCATTGTAAATTCATCTTTCAACAAGTTTTCATCGTTTTACCAGTTGAAATGTTAATAGCGATAATTTAGTTATTAAGTGTTCATTATTTTATTTGTTTTCATGAACTTCCATTTTCACAAGTTAAACACAATTAGCAATCTTTAACTCTTTCAAACATAATTAAAATGATTAAATATTTTAACTTGCAATTTCAATCGTCAGGCTACAAAAAGGTACAAATCAAGTTGAAGATGATTAAAGATTAGATCACATTGAGAAGCAAAATGAAAGTAAAAAACAAAAAAAAATGAGTCGAATGATTGAAATGATGATGAAAGATGATGATGAATAAAGATAATGATAAAAGTGAAACAAGGCGAGGTAAATTGACTACAGGTTATCAGGTAGCTACAGATTAAACCATCTCCACAGGTTTCAATGCTTTAGGCTGGATGTTGAGAAACGCTTCCCAGTTTACAAAAGCTGTCACCGATAACACCATTGAATGTTGATTTCAATTTCACACTTTTCAATGTTTCACCATTGTTCCATCTTGCAACCATCTGACCATGAAAACTGAACCAATGGTTTGAATCAATATTTAAAGTCAATTGAAAATCCATACAAAACTAAAGCTAAAAAAATCTGGTTAAACTTATGTAAATGGCAAGCTTGTGCTACCAACATTTGCATTGTTTACCAGATTTTTTAGATTAAACTGAAATAGCGAAAGCTGGTCAACAAAGGTAATGATATTTACTTTTGAGGTCATTTTGACCTACAACAGCCTCTATTTAACACGCGCCTTACCACGAGCCAGTCGACCAGTTTAGGTAACAATAAATGTCTTTACAAATTTTCAGGTTTTATCCTCTATTTATATGTACATATTTAATGACCTTAGCGTTTCTCTCGTGTGTTGCTTATAACGAGATTGTTTATTGACAAATGCTTTTCCAGAGATTGAGATTTCAACTGATTTCTGACTCTTTTCATTGGGAATTTCATTTAATTTATTGTATGTGTGCAACTGGATAAACATTGACTTATTCAGTTTTTGCGGCAAACTGACCTTTTCCGCCATTTTTTGGACCCTTTTCTGTTTCTTAGTTTACCATATCTTTGGGATCGGGTTTCAATTGATTTTTGATTGGATTGGGAACCGTTTATACTTCATTGATAATAATTTTGATTATCTTGCTATTCAAAGTCACCTTTTATGCTCTTTGTCATCTTTCAATGGATCAAGCTGACCTTTGATAGAGTGACCCTATCATCATTTGAACCCTATTCAGCTTTTTACTTCATTTATCGTTTTTCCTTTCAAAGTTAACAGTCAAATTTTGCTGGGTTAAAGATTTTTAGTTTAATAACCGCAAAACAGGAAAAAAAATCACGCTGAGTTTATGAGGGCAAAACGCTTGAAATGTAATGTTATGGGCTAAGTTTTTGGACAAAGATGGCAAACCTCCAAACAGCCTTTTACTTTTTTCCTTATCATTCTCATCTTTTGCTCATCTTTACTCTTCTTCTCGTCATTCTTCCTCCTTGAACATCACAGATGAAAATGACTTTAACTTACTGTATTATACAATATGTGAGGTCATTAAAAGTGGAGAAACGTTTGCTTACAGTTTAGCTTTTGTTTAGGTTTAGATGCAAAACTTCAATAAATTTGCATAAACTGTCAATCTAATTGCATTTCAA